ACGAGATTAGCAATACAATAGAAAGCTCATTGATGCATTGGAAGTGAAGACGGGAGTAAGAAAAGACAAGGTTGCAGCCTACTATCATCACCGATGATATTCCTGATTGTGGTCGATTCAACTCAACTCGACTCAACTGGATCATGCAGCGAAATGTGAGGAGCTGTGAGAAGATGAGCATACTCTGTTCAACCAACGTAAAGACCCTAGAAGATTTCGATCGTGCCGATGATGATTTATGTCTAATGTGTTATGTCACACAAACTGGAAGATGTACAGGCAAAAACCAACAATTTGTCAGAAGAGGTAAGGTGAGGTGAGGCGAGGTGGCGCGGTGAAGATGGCACTTCCTTCAGGTGAACGTGGAGAGGACAGAGGTGATGAAGATACCAACCACCACCACCACCAACAACAACAACAATCACCATGAACTGAAGAAATCGAAAGCAACTTGTCTCTTTCACCTACCTACCCACCTGCCTACCTACCTACCTACCTACACACCTACCTACCTACCTACCTACCACCCCACACCTTCCTACCTACACACCTACACACCTACCTACCCACTTACCTATCTATCTATCTATGTAGGCAACATCGTTTCAACTACAGGCAGCACACTCACACATCATGATGTCAACAGCCGAATCGAAAAGACAACAAGATAGGTCTTCTATTATGTGTGAAGATCAGTGTGGAGATCTGTTGCACTGCACTGCACTGCACTTCACTGCATTCAGCATGTGGAACAACATTCGGATTTTCAACACCAATGTCAGTCAAGTAAGTCAGTGCTTCTATGTGATGGTTGGGAGACTTGACTCGTTTCGAAAAGCATTTCCAATAAACTACAGATATACATGAACATCAGCATCCTACGCTTGCTCGATAGTGAAGATCGGATCAGATGGTGAGAATAATAAGAATAAGCGGCGAGGAACTGTGGCTGGCTGGCTGGCTGGCTGACAACGAATCAACCGACCACGAACCGATTGCGCAACAAATGTGGAGAAGAGAGTAGAGATGGACCGGATTGGACATACACTGAGAAGACAGTTTTGTGAAGATCACGCGTCAGACCAGACTGTTGAGTAGAAGGCAAATGGAAAACGAGTTGGGTGTGTTAGACGAGGGTGACATGGGAGAGATGGCATGAGGAGGAAATGAAAGCATATGGGCAAGCAGTCGTGTACCCATTTTGAAAATACTGTCGTGGAGAGAGTAAAATGGTGACATGCTAGTGAATCCCTATGCTCTACTAGTAACTCAACGGAGCAATAATAATAGTATAGTCGGTCTATATATCCTAATATTAAAGAGTAATTAACTATTTCCTTGAATATATTACGAGGCATGCTACTACAATAAACAAATTCGAAGAGCACAACCTTCATCATAGATTTTATTAGCAGGTGTTAGTTTTCACTCGAAATCGTGTTTCGGCAATCAACCTCTCTCCCTCTCTCTCCACCGAACTAACTATATTGGAGTTCAGAAGAGTAGTTTCATCCCACTCTGTTGTGTGATTATGTGTCAATGGATGCATTTCAATCGAAGATGTTTTACTCTAGAATAATGGTACTATTGAGATCTGTCATTCTGCATTTAACTAAATTCCTGTGTTTCGATGATTTAACTGAAGGCAATCGATTAGTGTGACCTACGTACTTGACCTCACAGTCATTACATGGCATTTGCTAGATTATATTATTTTGCTGAATTTATTCTATCGGATCTTTAAACCAGCTGGCAAAGTTTATCTCTGAGTGAGTTTGTAAGTTTAAATACCACCTTAATTCTAGCCTTGTTGAGAATCCAATGCAAACATTCTGATGTTCCTTCCTTATATGGTATCACCATAGAGTTTTTGAACTCCCCTCTACCTCTGTTGTGTTATTCGTTTATATACTACCGTTATTATCTTATTTCTTTATGTGTTTGTACGGATTTCTTAATAGACTGTAGATACTTTTTAGAATCTGTTGGTTCCATGTTGACGCTTGTATCCAAAGCATAGCCTATCCCTCATTTTATTCTTCAGTCCAAGATAGGTAGTTGTCCTTGTTCATTTTTTACCTCGTGAGCGCTCATTTCAATTCACTTACGAGGTTTAATCAAATGTCTAAATGACTAAACTAAGAAACTCGCTATTCTTTGCAATCACTTAAACAACAAATACCAGTGCATGAAAGAAGCGTTAATAATTGTAAAAAAAATCATCTACAGTCTATCAAGAAACTTGTACGAACACAAAAGTAACGAAATAATAACAACAATACAAATGCAAATAATAGCGACAATACCAATAGTAAGGAGATCAACGCCACCATTGTGTTACAACTTAACAAAGGTATATCAGAAAATTTATGTTGGATCCTCAACAAACCTGAAATCATGGTGGCATTCAAACCTATAAACTCACTCACAGAAAACCTCTATCGATTCGATAGATTCAATTCAGAGCAGTAATCGAATCTATCAGATTCCATGCAATGATTGACAGATCAAGTAGATAGGTGAGACCAGTCGGTCAGTGTCAGACAGCTCATCGGAATGACAGATCTCACTCAGTAGTATCATTAGTCTGGAATGAGACGTTGGGTATTGTGATGCATGCACTGATGCACAACCACACAATGGCGTGGGATGTAACTACTATACTTGATTTGAATATAGTTATTTAGGTGGATATTGGGAGAGGTTGATTACTGAATCTTTGTTCATCGAATCAACATACACTATATGTGATGGGAATGATTCAACAGGTGTACTAGAGATATGGCAGAGTTAACTGGTAGTGGAGTGAAAGGATCTGAGGTGATGGGTTTGTAGAATGTAGATGTTGAAAATAGTGTGATTCCAGTGATATGATTCTGATGGGTTGTTTATCGTTGGGAGGTTATCTGGTGAATAATATTCCGTCACTGTGTTCTAGCCATATCAAATTAAAAAATTTATCATGAAATATTCAGTTTGTTGATTGTTATAAGTTAAGTGCGTGTGCAATTCGCTAGAAATTCCAATTTGATTCGCTTATGCTAGAGGCAATTAACAGACTCTTTGTCTACTCGGTTGACAATTTATTAGTTAGAAGTCTGGATAACATACACAGCTAAATCGTTATACTGTAGCTAGTATATATTCAACATAAAAGCCACTATATCTATCATTCAAGGTGTCAAGAATCTTTTTGATGCGAATTAAATGATGAGGAAGTACTAATTTGTGACACTGTTATCAATGAAAACTCTCTTAGTTTATTCGATTGCAATAAGGGATCGTATACCCTACTAATTAGTATAAACAAGTCATTTCTCAGTGTCTCCTCTTCTATTTTGAGTAAGACTATGCACCATAAAATGCTTTACTTATTCGAATGTCTACTTTATTGAAATAACTTTAAGATTAGTAATATTTAGTTAGACAGTATGCAAATTATGGTGAATCTTTTCTACTATCATAATGTAACGAGAAATGAAGATATATTTAATTAGTTGCTTATTTGCTACATCTTAACTCAAGTCGTTATTTCAACCAAAGCGCTGATTCTGTGGTCTTAATCCAGGAGTCTTTTTCATTATTTTCATTATTATTATTTATCCCTTGGGTTCCTGGTGGAACATAGAGCTTCAGTAGCGCGTCTCCAAAGCACTTCGTTCTCTGAAATCTTTTGAACCTGGCTCCACGACTACCCACAAGCTATCATTTCCTCCCCACACCATCTCCTCCATGTCACCCTCGACTCACAAGCCCAACTCATAGCTCCCCATCTGGGTTCCACTCGACGACCTGGCCTGACGCGTGATATCCCCAATCGGCCTTCTCAGTGTATGCCCAATCCATCACCACTTCCTTCCAGTGCATATTTGTTGAGCGATGGATTCTTGCTTCGTTGATTCGTCACCAGCCAGAGTTCCTTGTTCTTTCTGGCCATCTGATCTCATCTTCAGTAACGAACCAGAGTGGCCAGTTGTTGATGAATGTCTGTAGTTTGTTAGAAATCCCTTTCTTAACGTGCCAAGTCTCTCAACCATACAGACAGAAGCACTGACTTGACTGAATTGGTGTTGAAAATCCGAATGTTGTTCAGGCTGGCTTTATGCTGAGTGCAGAATATCTCCACACTGGTTTCAGGCTAATGAACGCCTTTCTTGCTTTCCCTATCATGGCTGGCTTTGACATCCTCATGTGTGCCTGTGCCTCCTGTAGTTGAAACAGTGCTGTCTAGATAGGTGAAGTAGGTTACTTCCGTTCAGTTCTTCCTGTTGATGGTGATTGGTTTTTGTTGTTGTTGATGGTGATGGTGGGGCATCTTCATCACCTCTGTCTTCTCTACGTCCCGTCTTCGTTGCTCTGCCTCTTCTGTCAACTTGTTAGTTTTCGCCTGTAGATCTTAAAGTTTGTGTAACATTAGACCTAAGAGTCTTTATATCAGTAAAGTTTGAAATGTCTTAAATCATGATAAGAATTTGAGCAAACATCTCAAGAAATTCTTATCCATGATGATAAATCTAACTCATTAAATTACAAAATTTACACTACAGTCACTTTACATATCTTTTCGCAATCAAAACGTATCAATTAGGAAATGAGGACAGCATCAGCTGTCATGCTATCATCAGCTTATCCTTTGATATATATTGATTTTTTTGTTTTAATGAACTCAAAACTGTTTACATACAGAAGTATTCAGTGTTTTACTATACTCACGTATTGTCTCATATATTTTAATATTTTATCTTTCTCGCGAAGATATTTGGAGCATTTTGAATAGTAATTAACCAGCCCTTAATCAGTTACATTTCTTGTAAGCTATTCTATAAAGATTCAATGTTCAATATTTAGGTTTTACTTTGTAAAAAATCGGGAATTTTTATACAATAATTGAGTCTGAATGAAAAGATTATTTACTTTAATCTGAACAATGTATAGAAACGAGTTTTTCATCTTTTATGTATATGTTTAGCTCATTTTTCCAGGTGTTTCGTGTTCACCATATGGCAGTCTATTCTGAATTGAATAGACTTATTGAAATGGCTGTAAATGATATTCAAGAGAAACAAGAAACAATGAATAATATGGAGAAATCGTTCATAAGGTTAGTATGTACTGACTGTAAGTCATGTAATATATCATCTCCATCTGTTTCAGATGGATTAATTCATTATACCAGTAGATTTCTAGTAAAAAAGCATCATCAGTGCTGGTCTCTATGATTTTATGAGAACAAATGGAAAAGAATTGCCTACTCAACAACTAATAGATACCAAGTATACTAATACACCTTGTAACATAGCCCTACTAAAACATACTTCGTTACAGTAATAGGCTTATATAGTAGTCAAGATATAAACATTAACTTCTTTGAACACATTCAAAGAACTGTCTCTGTCTGGATCTTAATTAAATACTTTCAGAAATTCCAAAAAAATTTGCTTAAGAACTCAGGAGAAGTACTTTAGATACTGTTACTGTCTTGCATCATAATACTGTTTCTAGTATAAACAAAAGTGCTCAGTATATTCTCTGTACCTTCTTGGATTACATAAGAACTTTTAAATCTGTTTCTAGACGTCAGATTAAATAAGCTTGTTATAGCTCAAGCTGAGCCATGGGTTACAAAGGTGATTGTATTCTTATTTTTCTGAAGGGAAACAGTATACTTTCTATAAAGGAAGGTGATCCACTTCACTACTTACTGAAGCCACTTAGCCTTAGGGTGAAGTACTTTCTCTGTTTCTGTTTTTTCCTTTCTGCGTGATTTACCTTAGTCTACTGAAGCTAATTTCATTAGCTACACTGATAATCTGATGGTTTTTGTACCAGTTAACTCTTACTTTGATTTATTTAAACAGCGTAATGAGAAGACGAAGATTATCTGAAACAGGTGATGTATTAGCGCTATACATTTCGAGCAAAGACTTACATCGGCCATCTGTAAGACGTATTATACAGCTAAGGTCATCATTGTAGAGAAGACCAAGTCCATGTTACAACGCAAACCGAAACAACATATAAACGTCAGTTGGAGGAACAAAGGAAACCTGGGAGCACTGGACAGCTGTTTCGTCCGACTAGTATGGGACTCCTCAGCAATGCGCACCCACGACCCCACACCAGCAGGAACCGAACCCGCGACCTTCAGGTTCCGCGGCCAGCGCGTTACCATTGAGCCACTGGGTCGCATTCCAATGCTCCATATTTCCAACTTCTGTTAGCTCACGATATATGGCGCAACCGCCACCCAATGTCATCGCTGAGTATTTGTCCTCATGGCCATCAGGCTTTGACTCCACCGGTGAAGACGGCACTTCCTTCAGGTGAACGTGAAGAAGACAGAGGTAATGAAGATACCCAATCACCACCAGCAACAACAACAACAACAACAATCACCATGAACGGGAGAAATCGGAAGCAACTTGTCTCTTTCACCTACCTACCTACCTACCTACCTACCTACCTACCTACCTACCTACCTACCTACCTACCTACCTACCTACCTACCTACCTACCTACCTACCTACCTACCTACCTACCTACCTACCTACCTACCTACCTACCTACCTACCTACCTACCTACCTACCTACCTACCTACCTATCTATCTATCTATCTATCTATCTAAGCAACATCGTTTCAACTACAGGCAACACAGGCACATATCATGATGTCAACAGCCGAACCGGAAAGACAACAAGATAGGTCTTCGATTATGTGTGGAGATCAGTGTGGAGATCTGTTGCACTGCACTGAACTGTACTGCACTGCACTTCACTTCACTGCATTCAGCATGTGGAACAACATTCGGATTTTCAACACCAATGTCAGTCAAGTAAGTCAGTGCTTCTATGTGATGGTTGAGAGACTTGACTCGTTTCGAAAAGCATTTCCAATAAACTTCAAGCGTACGTTAACAGCTGTCACCTGCTATTACTTGACAATGAAGATCGGATCAGATGGTGAGAATAATGAGAATAAGGGACGAGGAACTGTGGTTGGCTGGCTGGCTGGCTGGCTGGCTGGCTGGCTGGCAACGACCAACCGACCGCGAACCGATTGCCCAACAAATGTGGAGAAGAGAGTAGAGATGGACCGGATTGGACATACACTGAGAAGACGGTTTTGTGGACATCACGCCTCACGCCTGGCCAGGCGAATCCAGACCAGGCCATACCAGATCAGGCTGTCGAGTGAAAGTCAAGTGGGAAACCACGGTTTGGGCGTTTGATACGAGGGTGGCATGGAGGAGATGGTGTGAGGAGGAAATGGAAGAATATGGGCAGCCATTTGTGTAGCTATTTTGAGAATACTGCAGAGAAGAGAGTGAAATGAACACGTGCTACTAAATTTCTGTGTATTACTAGGAGCCCAAGGATGAATTATTAATTGAAATATTATTTTAGCAGAAACTGAATTGTGAGTCTGATAGCTTTGTAGAAGTTACCTTCAGAAGCTCATAATCGCATTTCTTCCCTTAAACCCACTGTAGGGAATGAATTCGTTTATTGCCAACTTGAGCCTTTTTTATTTTTCTATCCTTTTTGCCATAAGGGAAAAAAAATTCAAGCAAGGGGTCTGTTAACCACTAACGTCTTTTTCTGATGTATGCAAGTGAAACTGTTATAATTGTTTATTTATTTAAGAAATGACTTACATAACTTCTTGAGGTAGTTTTCATCCTAGACTGGCACTATTTAGAGAATTATAGAAAAAGTGAGTACCCTGGGCAGCTGTGTCATCCTAATATGTAACTTGTCAGCGGTACGCACCCTTGAGCCAGTAGGAGGTCAGGCTCAGGAGTTTTGTATCTCGTGACAACAGAATTACCAACAAGCCAGTTGATCAGTTGTGATGGATACTACAGTGAAATATATAAAATCCTCATAAACCTTAAACTAAATAATCCCATAAATTATTTAAAGGCAACTGGGTTAAACTAAAGCTGGCACATGTTTCATTGACTTCACTTTCATTACGTGAAAGCTTTATGCATAAATCAACATTTCATTATATCTTCACTAATCTTTAACTAATTGATGCCCATAACATTTTACACATCTACAAATATAGTTCTTCAGAAGAATTCAAGAAAACTATTGAAAATTTATACAGTGAAATGGAATTGAAGCTTAGTCAAGAGGAAGAAACTATGAGTCAGAGGGTAGGTTTAAAACATATTTCACAGATGTTTTTTCCTTTAAAAGTATACAGAAGTGAAAAATAATGACAGATAGTCTGGGGAAAAGCTATTCTGGAGACTGTAATTTGGAATAATAACGTTCTCTACACTCATGACATTTTGTGTAAAGATGGAAGAATGATATTCATTATGAGTTCCATGATTTGAAAGAAGCCTGAAATGTTCACAGCTAATAACTGAATCCATTTCAGTCTGTTTATTAACAATTTCACACGATGAAGGGACAGTATCATTTAGTGGATAACAACGTTTCGGACACAATCTATTGTCCATATTCATATCAGATAGCTCCATAATTTTCAGACAGAGTTTATATATTCCTAATTTTATCTCCTTCTCTGTGATGACAAGAGCAGTAAAATTTTCCATATATCTGGCATAGATGTAGAATCATTTCGGTTGCATGAATTTGGTGTTGATCCAATGAATAAAGATTCAGTTATCAATCTCTCCCTCATTCCAACCAAAGAAGTTAGTTTATAATACTGTCGTCTTATCCCACTCTATTGAGTATTATTATTAGTATTATCCTTTGGGTTCCCAGTGGAACATAGGGCATCAGTAACACGTGGTCGTTTCACTCTCTTCTCTGCAGTATTCTCGAAATAGCTACACAAATGGCTGCCCATATTCTTCCATTTCCTCCTCACACCATCTCCTCCATGCCACCCTCGTATCGAACGCCCAAACCGTGGTTTCCCACTTGACTTCACTCGACAGCCTGATCTGGTATGGCCTGGTCTGGATTCGCCTGGCCAGGCGTGAGGCGTGATGTCCACAAAACCGTCTTCTCAGTCTCTCTCTCATCCCCATCATCATCATCTAGATATTTGTTGAAGGTGAAGGTTTGTGGCAGTTAGGCAGTCGTGCTGAGACAGTTTCCAAATTACTTCTCTGTCGACGCTATGGAAGGCCTTTTCGAAGTCGATGCAGTTGAGGTGGAGTGTTGACTGCCATTCTATGTCATGGTGTATAATGTTTCGTTGCGTTATTGATCGTGAGTAATCGGGTGCAGAGCTATAGTCGAACATTTATGTAGACTCCTTATTTTATTTGGATCTAATAATCTTGATTAAGCTATGGTTTTGTGCTCCGTTATTCTAGTTGACCCTTTTTCGACTACTTTGACTTCTCTATTTGACCTCAGATTCTTTGCAAGGTGTTTGGAACACCGAATTATTTTGCATGATTGAGTCATTAAGATCTCTTAACCTACAAATCTTGTTTCAAAGCGAGTTTGTTGGTCTCAATGCCAGTTTAATCCCAGCGTTATTGAGAATTATGTGGTTTAAGTCACAAGAGTCATAAGAAGTCAGACACATGAATATTTACCCACCTGGATTTATGAATACATTTATGAGGAATTGAAAAAATATGAGTAGTTCTAGTAACAATGTTTTACTAGTAATTCTACTGCTACTAGTAATAATGGTGGCAGGGTTCGGAGAGAATTCAAAGCCTCCACTGTGCTACTATGCAAAGAAGCCACTTCAAAAGCATTACAAAAATTCTCAATAAGGCTTGGATTAAAGTGGCTGGCATTTGAACCAACAAACTTGCTTTGAAACAGGGGTTGTAAGTAAAAACATCCTACAAATCTAATCAGGCAAGATAACTTAGTTTATCAAATCCTTTGCAATGGTTGTCGTGTCAAATATAGTGGTTAAAGTAGTCGATCAGGGTCCCTTAGAATAACAGAGCACAAAAACTTAGCTAAATCAAGACTACTAGATCCAACAAGGAACTCTGGGAACGAACCAACCAAGAACTCATCGCCAACAAACATGCAGGAGAATAAAGTGGAGATGGATTGTATAGGGCATACACTGAAAGGTCGATCGGAGACATCACGCGTTAGGCCAGGCCATCGAGTGAACCCAAATGGGAAACGACGAGTTGGGCGTCCGAAGCGAGAGTGACATGGAGGTGGTCATGTGAGGAAGAAATGAAAGCTTATGGGCAGTCATGTAGTGAGGTTGAAAAGATTGTAGAGAACACAGTGCAATCGAGACGTGCTACTGAAGTCCTATGTTCCGCTAGGAACCAAAGGGAAAATATTATTAATAAATAATAAGATGAGAAATGTAGAGAAAAGCTCGGCTATAACTCTGTATTCGATGACCCACAATCACACAGTAGGGTGGGATAGAGGGACAGGTTTGAAAACGGACTTAATTGGGTGAAAGGAGGGAGAGATTGATAACCAAATCTTTGTTTATTGGATCAACACCAAATACATGCAGCCGAAATGATTCTGCACCTGTCTCAGATATTTAGAAAATTTTACTGCTCTTATCATACAGAAGGAGAGAGGTTTAGAACTACACCAACCATGTCTGAAAGTTAAGGAGCTACCTGATATGAATATGGACAATAGATTGTGTCCGAAACGTTGTTATCCACTACATGATACTGTCTCTTCACTGTGTATGATATTTCTAATAAACAGACTAAAACGAAATTACCATCTACCTCAGTGACTAAGTCTAACTCCTATAATAATGATAGTTGAATGATATACTAACTAGAAGTAGTTTCTAACACTAATTCGTGTTACTTAAAGAACTAATAAGGACTGGGAAGAACTGAAAAGTTACTTCATCCTGATCTCAGATTCCTCAACAGAGCGTCATCACCCTTTGAATAATTGAACACAGTTTTTCATTGTGTTGAAATCCATACTCCACTAATTATCATGAAAGATCCTGGTGTAAAGTAAAAAGAATAGATGAAAATATATCGGACTCAGAGCTTATGTCAACCTTTGTCTCTTCTTTATTCACATCTTCTTTTAGCTGGAGTGTAAAGGAATACTCTGTAACGACTATAATATAGTTAGAGATATTTGATAGATCTTGTTTTTTTTATGAAAACAATAATCATCAGGTTACTTGAAAGGTATCTGCTGAAATCACAAGGATAAAATTGAGAATTTCATAGATGAAAAGAGGTCAAATTAAGGCGAAAACAGAAGATCATTCTTCGATATACTAACTTGTTTCTTTTTATTTACTAGTTAGAAAAGGTATGTGAAGAAATGAAAAACAATGCAAATCAAATTATTGAAGAGAAAGAAGAACAAACTGAAAATTTGAAAGAAAAGTTAAAACAGGTAGGTAGATAATATTTTCAACATGAAAACAATTACTTAAAGACTTCTATAGAACTATCTCTTTATTCAGCTAGTGAAATCATAAAATGAGCCAATTACTAGTGGAATTCATTTATAACCGTCAGTATTGAAATCGAGGTTTATACAAAAGCGCTTATAATCTTGCTATTTCTGGTTGTTATTCATCTTAGACTGATATCAACTGGAGGAACAAAAGAAACCTGGGAGCGCTGGAAGGCGGTTTCGTCCTAGTGCTTGACTCCTCAGCAGCGCGCACCCACGACCCCGATAGGGATCGAACCCGCGACCTTCAGGTCCCATGGCCAGCACGTTACCATTGAGCCACTAGATCAGAATCCAATGGTTTATATTTCCAACTTCTGTTAGCTGAGGATATAGCTCACCTGCCACCCAATGTCACGGGTTCGACCCCCGGCGGGGTCATGAGTGCGCATTGCTGATGACTCCCATACTAACACGAAACAGCTGCCCAGTGCTCCCAGGTTTCCTTTGTTCCTCCAACTGATGTCAGTCTACGATGATTAACAACTTGAAATATTTCCAAATCCTAACAAGTCCCTTAAAATTCAATTTGTTCTTTCTATGTTCACAGCTAATTATGTAAGAGAATAGAATAGTAAGTAAAGGCACTAATCACACTATGGATAGGACTACTTTATATGCCGACTGAGAGCGATGATTTGTCACATACACATGAACACTTCTCATATGTAGATCATTCGAAGTAGACCTTCGTGATAGTTTGAATATTTTATTTCAAAGAACTATTCATCATAGACTGATATTATTTGGAAAACCACTGAAAACCTTGGAGTACTGGACTGTTATTTCGTCCTAGTGCGAAACTCCGCAATAGTACGCACTAATGACCCCACCAGGAATTGGTCTCAAAACCTAGCTTCATGGAGAACGCATGAGTCATTCGGCTGCTAGATCAGAGTTTGATGATCTTCAGTTTCCTACTTTTGTCAGTTAACACGATAGTGTTACTAAAGTGTGCTTTAACACTGAAAAGACAGAATAACAAACAATGAAACTTAACAAAACATGGAAATTTAACTATGAACATTCTACGAAATGACAGTAACATAGTAATTGTTAAATCTAATTAAGGCAATTCTATAATAGTTATGAACAAATTGGATCACTTCAACAAAATTGACGAACATGTTCTAACAGAACCATATAAAGAGATCAAGAAGCCATTAGACATCGTCACGAATAAGATTAAAAAATCTATATCCGATCCGGTAGGCCGACAACGCTATCTCAAGGTGTCTAAATGGTTTAATTAAGTGCCGAAAAATGACAATCCTAGTAGAATTTGTGGCCCTACTAAAATTCATAAACCATGTTATCCCACTAGACCCATAACTGACTTAAGAAATACCCACAACATATGAATTAGCAAAGTACTTAGCATCAATATTGTGTCCTATTAGGAACCGTTCAAATTCCAGACTGGTAAACTGTTATGAGTTAAAACTAAGGTTTATTGACCTGCATATAGAAGAGGATGAAAAAAGGTTAGTTTCGATGTAACAAGTCTTTATACTAAAATACCAATCATTATGGCATTGGAGGCAGTCAGAAGTTAACTAAGTAGTGACTCAGAACTGAATCAGGGAACTAAGATATCGATTGATGAGATCATATTAGGCGTACAATTGTCCCTGACCTCCACAGTCTTCAAATTTCAGAGCAAACTATAAAGACGAACAGAAGGTGTAGCAATGGGATCACCAATATCTCCAATCGTTTCAGATACATTTAAGAACGGTCGGAAAAACATGGCGTTATAAACATTTAATCCTCTACCGAAGTTATGGTGGCAGTATATTGGTGACACATGTACTGTTTTGAAATCGGAACATATCGACAATTTCTTCACACATATAAACTCAGTAGTGAACGCAATCCAATTCACTTAAGAGATAGAAAATGAACAATGAGAATTATCTATGTTGGACTGAAGAATAAAGTGAAGGATAGACAGTGGTTTGCATACTGCCGTCCACAGAAAACCAACACATTGTGACATGTATCTAGACTTCAAGTTGTCTAGTCAAACGTTTAAATGATAGAGTTAGAAAACTGATTAGTTAGTGCAAGGATTTAAACAAGAAGCTGAAGTATATAAAAGAAGCGCTACTAATTAATAATTATCCTCTACGGTTTATTAAGAAATTCTTACCATCACATAAGAAACAAAAAGGTAACAGTAACATAAATACGAATAATCACAACAACACGAGGAGAAAGGAAGTCATAGCTTCCATTGTGTTACCCTATAAGGAAGGCAGATCAGAAACGTTACGTTGGATTCTCAACAAAGCTGGAATTAAACCTGGAAACTCACTCATAGATAAGTTCTGTTGGCTTAAGAATCCGATAGATCCAATTCAGTAAAATAATCTAATCTATCAAATTCCATGTAATAATTGTCAGGTCAAGTACGTAGATGAAACTAGCCGTCCGGTGTCAGTCAGATCAGCGGAACATAGGAATGACAGATCCCAATAGTTTCATTAGTTTAGAATAAAACGTTAGCCATTACAATGTACCCATAGACGCATAACTGCACAATAGAGTGAGTTATAACTACTCTTCTTAATTCCAATATAGTCAGTTAGTTGGGGAGAGAGATTGATTACTAAATCTTTTTTCATTGAATAAACACCCATAACATATTTTTGAGGGGGTTGTGGAGATTTGGAAATATTTCAAGTTGTTATTCATCGAAGACTGACATCAGTTGGAGGAACAAAGGAAACCTAGGAACTTTGTTCCTCCAACTGATGTCAGTCTTCGATGAATAACAACTTGAAATATTTCCAAATCTCCACAACTCCCTCAAAAATTTAACTGAACTGATGCTCATAGGTGACTAGCTTCGAGAAGTATTCCCGAAGTTCCAATGACAAGTCGTGACCGGTGGAGTCAAAGCCTGATGGCCATAAGGACAAATACTCAACGATGACATTGGGTGGCGGTCCGCGCTATATCGTGAGCTAACAGAAGTTGGAAATATGGAGCATTGGATTCTGACCCAGTGGCTCAATGGTAACGCGCTGGCCGCGGAACCTGAATGTCGCGGGTTCGATCGCTGGTGGTGTGGGGTCGTGGGTGCGCACTGCTGAGGAGTCCCATACTAGTCGGACGAAACAGCTGTCCAGTGCTCCCAGGTTTCTTTTTTCCTCCAACTGATGTCAGTCTTCGATGAATAACAACTTGAGACCCATCACATATAATAGAAATGAGGCCACATATATACGAGAGATATGAAACATTTTACTACCAATAGGAACAAAGAATATGAGTGACAGGACTATAAAAATCAAATGTTGAAAGTAGCGTGATTACGTTGATATGATTATGAGGGCTAACTTATGCTCAAAATGTTTTCAAGTAAATAATACCGTATCATAAATCAAATAAACAAATCTTAAGTGGAATAAAGCGTTTTTATGCATTAACTTCTTTACTTGATATCCGCTTCACTTCCAACTGGTTGACCTCATACGTTACGGCTTCTCGTTAGAATTTTGCTGTAGGAAAAAGACTTTCGAAAGCACGACTATTCTTTATCCTTTGTTTCTCATCAACATTGTTAATTTCACAGGATACTTAAGTTTACAATAAACATTTATAAAACAGTTAAATCTATATGGCAACTGTTTTATAAATACTTGCCATCAAATATCTCAGTTTTTATCTCTTCATGTGTTAAAAGAACTGAATGATTTTTGTTCTCATGAATTTATAAATTGATTGTATATCTAAAAGAGAAGACTGTAAACATCAATGATACAGATATGAAGAACTCAGTCCTAATAAAAATGACCTATTATTCAGTTGATCAAGGTACAAACAGACTGAAACAGAGTGAAATAAAGTTATCGAAATCAACGAATACGTTTTCTCTAAACAATTAGTTAGTATGCAGACTTGTCTTCATTCTTGAATTTATAGATTACATAAGATATCTGAATAAGAGGAGTAACCGAACTATGAAGTGGAGGGTAGTATAGCATATCTACTGATGACTGGAGAAATATTTACATTCAAAACGTCCAATAACTACAGAGGGCAGACAGATGTGTTCGTTTAACAGGCAAATGCATCATACAAACATTTCATAGGGTTGATTGCAATATAGCCATTAGATCATTATACAGAAATCATCACGATCAGATGCTTAGGTTTCTTGGAGCCTCCTTTGTGTACTCTAAAATGCCTTGATAGATGTAACCAGATTACTTGGATGAACTCCATCTTCTTAATACATCATAGAAATTCATCAAAGGGAATAACTAATTCAAATTACAAGATCTTGCCAGCCAGATGGGGTTAATCTAGATATTACACAGGTATTTACAACCTCATCGAAGGTTTAGCAAAAAAATTTAGCTCATTGTAGTGAACTGCTTCCCTAATCCGAATTCAGTTTGAAGGTTTGTTTAGATTTATCTGTCTCAAATTATGATTAATTAAGAACTAACATCAATTGCAGAACCAATGAAAATCTGAGAATACTGGATAGTTATTTCTTCCTGGTATGGTACCATCAGCATTGCGCATCAATGATCTCATGACCACACCTTGAAATCAAGGAATCCTTAGAAATCTCCAAGCTGGCACCCATTATTGACATTCTTCGAGGTGAGATTTCCCGAAGTTCTAATGAGAAATAGTTACCAGAGGAATAAATCAAGTCTAACGTGAGGATAAAAACCCAACGATAATCTTGGGTGAAAGTCGCTTTATCTCACAAATTGAGGGAGGTGAGAACATGTGGTCAATTGGATTCTGATTCACTGGGTTAGTGGTAATGTGGTTTTTGCAAATCCTGAAGGTTCTATGTTCTACCCTTGGTGGGGCAACGAGTGCGCACCGCTGAGGAGTCACACACTAGAAAAAAACATCTATTCAGTGTTCTCAGGTTCTACCTGGTTCTGCAGTTGATGTCAACCCGTGAAAAGATACCACCTTGTAATCTGAATTAAGATAACCAGATTAAAACGTACACTGTATCATGAAATAGACCAAATGCTGTGTAAGTAGTATCAAATTCTGCAGCCCATATTGATATATATTAAATTTCTTCAGTAATAACCAGCAATATCAGCAAAGAATCGTTTGAAAATCACCTGACCAAGTTGCGGTTTGTCATCTGTGATCTTTAGTGTCATTAGAATGAATACACTAGAAAATGTGATATGATATTAGTGTAAAGATGAAAGTAATTTCTCTAAATCTGTATGCATGAATTTGAGTAGATCAGTCAGTTAGTTTTAACTGACATGCGAGTGATTCACGTATAACTAGTCACTTGTGTTGCTTAGGTAACTGAAACATTCCTGGGAGAAATAAACTGAGAGACTACTGGTAGCTAATTGAAGCTATGGCCTACTAGTTGATACAGTTGACGCTTGATCAGTGGATCACGAGTATAAACGTCACTCCACCTACCGAGGTTTCGGGACTAGATAATATCCCTATTCCCATCCCCAAAATTGGTGTGGTTCACTGTCTAGTGCATGGATATGCTCTTAATTACTGAATCCATCCCAGTTGGTAGTTAAAATGGAACAAAGTAAGGAACAAAAGCTTAACTTCCATGATAAAACAAATATCACTTGTATTCTATCCAGTCTTCACCTCATTACCTTAATATACCTTATCATCTCTTTTGCTTAAAGCTATCCACGCTGTCGGATGATCTTCAGAGGGAAACCGAAGATGATAGATGTACTATGGAAGAGGCAAGAAAACAGTGTCAAAATATACTTGATGAGATTGAAGAATACGAAGTAAGTACAGTTTTCGCTTATAATTCTTATCAATTCCATCATACCAACTATTGTAGTGAGCGTTGCTGATAAGAATGGATATAAGTAGTAAATGTTGAAAGGGTGGCAGGAATCATAGGGAATTACTAGCGATGGGCAAGGATCCTGCCAAAAGCAACACAAGGGATAACGCAGGTGTATTACAGTGGATGCTGCTGATAAGAATGTATGAAGAGGAAATCAACAGAGAAACAGAAGAGGGAACGAAGCACATTTCGCAAATGATGGATTTGGTGTAGCTACCTCTTCCTGAAGGTTGTTGATTTGTTCTTGCCAGTTATTTACCCCTGGTGACTCCACTGCCGGTACTTCTGTTCCCATTAGCTGTCTGGTCACCTTGGCCACTTCACTAGTGTCCATGAGATGGGCTGCGTTGACTAGTCGTAACTGCTAGGCGATGAGATTCGGGACACTTTCGTGAACTGTGCAGCCAGCAACTTTTCTTGGGAGTCCTCATCCAACGTGAGAAGTGCTCGTCGAAGAAGTTTGGTCAACTTCACAGCCAACACCAGAGGATCTTCGTCTCTTCCCAGTTTCGTGCTCCAGAATTGCTGCATCGCCAGCTCCCTGTCCACTGGGCTGTCAAACTCCGCCTCCTGACATTCAACCATTCTCCGCCAAGTCTCTTTCCGACCATCACGTCCCACGCCGTCATATGCTGCTTTCGCCCTACACCTCAGCAAAGTGCCCAGCACCACGACCTTTGCCCCTGAGTCTCCGACCCCCAACCAACCGACCCGAAATCCTTGGGGAAGACCTTGATGTCTCCATCCTCGAACACTGAAGGCCGCGGAATCTCCATCTCACCCAGAGGCAGTGACACCAATTGTGAAGATCGAAGACAGTCTGAAGTACCAAACGGAACAACAAAGTTTACATATTTCCAAGATTAGCAGCATAAATCTGTCTTGATAATATCTGTACTTGATTGATTTCGAGGCCTCTCGCCAGAAGAAGCTTTGAAGGTGAAACAGGTTGATTGACCATAGAAATCTACAGACCTTTCAAAGTGGTTCTCAAATGAAACGTCATTCTGAATTTAGCTTCTAAAAAAGTCTGCATATTATTCTCTTCGACTTACTGGTTACTCGTTCGTCTTCGTTTAAGGTGCTTTTATAATATAGTAAACAATAAAAATGTTTACAATGTAATACATAGAAATATGATGTATTCAAACTAAACTTCATTATGATGTTAGATAGTAGGGGAATTATTACCAGAGTGTTCCGATGTAGGTTCCAGGTTCGAGAGCATTCGACTAGAGGGTGTACATGTTGTCCTAATTACGTTGATACTTTCACGGTAACTAGGACCAATATGATAAGGAGTGATTAAGGAGGTTATTTTGGTTCCCGAGGTTGACTAAATATCATCGACCCTAGTAAACGTTTGTAATTATACATATATGCATGAAAGTGGCTTACACAGCAGACCATACATTCCTACTAACGGAAGTATTAAAGTGCCGGATATCCGCCTTTAGCTTCTTAGCACGGATAGTGTCCAGCGCTTGGTCTATCTTACCGTGCTATGGTCAGTCGTATCTCACGCCCATTGCTCTACTAATATTAGCACTCATTCCATTGTGATAAGACGGCGGTGCGAAGGCGTTTCAGTCTTTACTGCTTGCAGAGTTATCTTAAAATCCATTCCCTAACCGGAAGGCATGATACCACTGCGTCGGTTTTCACTTCCTCTTAACTATGTTGCAAATATAATCGGTAGGATTCAGTAAGTATTCAGGGCAAGGCAATGAAGTATGGATCCATTGTCGAATGATGCGTCAAACTTTACTTTCTATACTGTACTTTTCAGCAAGAAGAAAAGTTTTAAATCTATGAAAATTCTCTAAAATTTTGTAAATTGATACCCATTTTCATACATTTGTTTAATTTGTGACCTACATTGTGACTTATTGTGTTTCAAACGGCGTTTGCTTCAAATTTCCACGTTTGAAGAGTTCTATTTAGTTGTTCACTTAGACAACTATTCTACCTACACTTTTGTGGAATTCCAGGTTATTACTCCTAAATGACATATGGTTTCAGCTGCCACTCTATATCTCCAGATGGTTTATGTAGGTCGTTGTAGGCTATTTTGCATGAAGGATATGTTCGCTGATAAACTGATCTTTTTCTTGTCAGAACAGCATTCATTGCCGGGTTTAAAATCGTAAAATAAACTTCATAAATATTTCACATCAGTTCCATTCTGTAAGTAGTCATTGTAATTCAGTTGTTGGTTCCTAGCGATGTACTGATTTGGAAGCAGTTCTTGTCGCAGAAGGACCGAAGTAAGACTCAGTGGTCCACTAGACTTCACCCCAGCAGGTGAACAGTAATATCTGAGGGAGGTCTGAGGGAGGCCCTCAGACCTAATAGCCATGAGCTGAATCCTCATGGGGTTGTGTGAATGAAAGCTGCTGAGGAATCATAGACTGGTACGAAACAACTATCTCATTCGTTCCACATTCTCTAACTAATGTTAACTAGAAAAGAAACTGCATTTGCGAGCGACTTTAAAGGCCACTGAGATAACCAATTAGGTATCTATATTTTATGAAAAACTACCTTTCTAGCCGCAATACCGATTGGTTATTAGAGCAGTTGTTAGAGTGGTCTTTAAAGTCGCCTGAATTTACATCAGAAACAAAAAAGAAGCTTAGTATCCAATTTGCCAAAAACCATTGGATAATTACAGTTTCAGGTTTCTGTAGTACACACGTTGCTAGTTGTTTTTACCGAATAAACCCTGAAGCGTATTGCAGTGTATATAGTAGGGATTGTGCGAGGCTGTTCATCCTAGTGCATTATAAACAAGTAAATGATTACATGAATTGGTCACTGGTGAGTACCCGATGACGAGGACATGGAGCTTAGCGTCGACCAAGCTTGTAAATGCAGCTTTACAATGTGGCCACTTTATGAAGCGACGTGTTACTGTATCGCACTGTAGTTTGGTCTTAGATGATGGGAGTCAGTCAATAGGCAACTTTGAACCTAGATTTCGTGTCTGATGGGACTTGTCAGCAGGATGAACCTACAATCCAGGAAACTATCCATTGCTATGTGAAATGATTCTTAAACCTAATTACCTAAAGTTTATGTGCTTATTATAAATGTTGTATGGTTTAAAATGTTCCACTGTCGGATCTCGAATCATGGTAAAAAGTTAGAAGCAACCATCTACGGTACCGTGCATTAATGGTTATTGAATCGTATACAAACTGAAAAGTTATATTATCGATCCATTTTCTAAATCTCTTGTTATAATTCATACATATTTTTGATGGGGAAAAATACATCAGCGTAAATATGAATATTGTTTATGAAGATGAACCAATAAACTGAATTAAACAAAACATAGGAGTAAGCAAATCTTAAAATTTACAGTTAGTATAGCAATCATATTTGACATATTGTAAAAACACGTACAGTAAATTATACTAACGTTAACTGATTAAGACTTTTAAATGTCAAGGTCGATCGAGAAGATAAACAAAGTGAAATGAATCGGTTGAATACCATATGTTCATTCATTTAAGCAACTTATGCAAAACAGATTCATTTGAACATGCCATTCAGAGTGAAATGAAGCCGTTTAGGCAATTGCCAAGATAGAGGGACCTTCTAAGAAGTTTTATTATTATTTTATTATCAGTCTCTTGGATTCCTAATGGAACATACGACTTCAGTAGCACGTCTCCACTCCACTCTCTTCTCTGAAATCTTTTGAACCTGGTTCCACGACTACCCACAAGCTATCACTTCCTCCCCACACCATCTCCTCCATGTCACCTTCGACTCACAAGCCCAACTCATAGCTTCCCATGGGGGTTGCACTCGACGGCCTGGCCTGACGCGTGATGTCCTCAGTCGGCCTTCTCAGTGTATGCCCAATCCATCTCCACTTCCTTCCAGTACATATTTGTTGAGTGATAGGTTCTTGGTTGATTCGTCACCAGCCACAGTTCTTTGTTGTTCCTTGCTCTTTCTGGCCATCTGGTCTTCAATAACGAGCCAGTGTAGGCAGTTGTTGATGAATGTCTGTAGTTTGTTAGAAATCCCTTTCGTAAGGCACCAAGTCTCTCAACCATACAGGAGCACTGACTTGACTGAATTGGTGTTGAAAATCTGAATGTTGTTCAGGTTGGCTTTATGCTGAGTGTAGAAGATTTCCACACTGGCTTCAGGTTGATGAACGCCTGTCTTGCTTTCCCTATCATGGCTGGCTTTGACATCTAAGAAGTACCTCAGTGATATTTAGAGTTTGTAATAGTGAACCTTTCTCTGATCTCAGGTCCTTAAAAGTTCCAATTGTAATTTGGAAAATATTTCAATGAATAAACAATATGCTTCTCGATAATTTCTTCATCAGATCCTATAGTCATTATACATCTATATTGTGTAGTTTGCGTTAATAGTGATGAGATTCCTCATAATAGTTTGTTATTAATTTGATTCACTTAGGGAAGTCGTCATCTAAGTTAAAATGATTCAGTTTCACCATAAAATGATACATAAAAAGTATAATCGTTTTATAGGATCAATTACTTGGGACTGAATTCCAGTAATGATTGACTCCGATATTATCTTTCACACAAGATTTTCCTAACTGTATAATATTATTAACAAACTGTCGTAAGAAATCTCACTAGTTGCATTAAAACTTACAATTTCTCGTTGCTATACAGAGGCGAATTACTCGACCTCTGTCAGCAGATGGGCAATACCCTTCGCTTTAAATGCCAGAGCGTTATCCTTTAAGCCACTGGGGCACAATATTCACCTTTTGTGCAACAGGTATCAGTTGTTGTTATGATATTTGTAATTACCCGTTGTTATACAGGGCTGAATTGCTCGACATCTGGATAACAGAAACATCCATCTAACGAGTCCTGAACAGAATGAAACGCGCATCCTGGATTCGTCTGAGAGTCAACAAGATCAGTATGCAATCTT